AGTTTTCTGCTAATTTGTTTTTTAAAATGTCTTCACATGATTTAAACTTAAACTGAAAGTGTGCCAACACGCTGACGACACCCAGCTCTTTCTCTTTCACATCCTGTGTTGTCCCGGACAGGAGGAGAATGACCAACCCTTCCAGATCATCGAGGTCAAAGTGTTGTCCAACTGGGGGCACCAGGAGTACACCTGCATGTACCGCTTCAGAGTGCACGGGACACCAGCAGATGCCTGAGGACGCTGCAGACACTCAGTCCCGTTATTTAATACACAAAGAGTTTGGAGAGACGGCAGAGACACTGATGACTTGCTGTCTTTCGCACAGTCACCTCCCAGCTAACTCGCTGCTAATTGTGCCTGAGACTCCACAGTGACTGTAAACTCAATGAGACGGTCACTTCCTTCGTCCCCTCCAGGCCAAACGTGATCTCTGAGTGTCGTCAGTTTCCTGTGGAAAGAGGACACACTCACAGCTTCTGTGTGATGTATATTTTTTCTGTCAATAGTTAATATTTTTATATAAGTGTTCTGAGTTTTGTATTTGTTGTGTTAAAGGTCCTTCATGTTTTAGACCGTTTTTCTTTTATCTGTCACATTATTTAAATGCAGTAGTGCAGATGTGAGCAGGAAGTGAAGGCCGTCTTAATACGTTACTCAGATGGCCTTGTGTATGTGTTCTGTTGTGGATGCTGTAATTGTTTTTCCTGTCTTTACTGGTGGTGGAAGGGATCCCCTTCTCAAGCTTTGATTTTAAGCTTCAGCAGTGAGATAGTTGAATGGGGAATCTTCCAAAGTCTCTGTTTCCATATTTATTGTTTCCTTGCTGAGCCAAGTTTGATGAACAGTAACACAAAGACAGAATTTCCGTCTAAATTTGGAGGAACTCTGAACCTTTGAAGTCATTTTCAGGCAGGAGGAGGAGGATGGTGGATTTTTATCCCCCATCATTTCCACTGAAACAGTTTGAGGAGCAGATGAACGGGACGAACAGCTACCACCACAAAACTTCCAAATCTACATACTGGCATAGGAGTTTTGTCATGTTTTGTTATATGTGAACCTGTCTTTTTTTAATGTCTGTTGCGTTCAAGTACAATGCAACATTTGAAGTTGAATTTAATGCAGTGTCTTTGAATGCACCACCAGGCAGGGTTTTCATAATGACTCCTGCTCACAGCTGCAGTACTCAATGATAATGATACAGCCTTTACAAAAAGGTCAAATTATTCACTGCTCTGATGAGAAGTTAAAAAGGGAAGTAAAAAAAAAATTACTACTCAAACTAAATTAAAATATTTTTGCACTAATTGGCTCACCTGCGCTGAAGCCTCACTGACTTAGTGAAAGGTAATTGTTTTGTTTTGTTTTTTTATGAAAGACTTGTAAAATGTGTTGGGACCACTTTATTTTTACATAATACATATTTTTGTGCTTTTGTATGTGATTTCAAGCTGGACGTAATAAAGATGTGAAATTTAAGTTTTTATTAAAGTGTGAGAGCTGCTGTCCTAACTGGGATTTATATTTACCAGGATTTTATTTCAGAAGTTTATTTTTTCCATGGAAGTTCTGTTTTTGGTTCAGCTTGTTTGTTAGCAGGATCATCTGGGGGGAAAAAACAAAACTGTAAATCTGTGGCCATGAATCAAGAAACAAGTGATAGTTTTTAATTTTTTCTCTTGGATTCCCATCGTATTCAGGCTGTATGAGCAGCTGAGAAGAAACAAACAAATATGTAAATGGCAAATTTTTAATTCTGGGTCGGAGGTATCCGGAAGTTCCTACGTCTACTTATCTTCCACTTGGCAAACAAAATTGAGCCTTCACCAAGTCTCGCCCCAGACTCGATGTAGACTGGCCAATCATAACGTAGCATCAGGCCGGCTCAGACACAGCTGTGCTTCATTGACTCTGATGCAATCGCTCCTTCATCTTCAGGCTGGTTTTGTGGATTTCGAGTTAAATGTTGTGCCTGGGGCACGTTGTGTAGTAATGATACTCGTTACCTGGAGAGGTTGGAAAAGGATATACGTTTCTTCCCTGTTCCAAAACCCAAATCAAACCCTGAAAAGTGTAGGGTTAGCTAGCTAGCTACTGAAGATATAGCCTACTGAATGTATACACATGCTGCTTTTGCTTTTTGATGATTATAACAGTGAAACAAAGACCGACCCTGCTGTACAGGAACCGGTGAAGGGAAGCAGGGAAACTTTTAGCAGAGTATACAAAAGAACGATAATTGATTTCCCCTGGAGCTCCCCAACAGTCTTGTGGCTGGTGGTAGCACAAGGAGTGAAGCCAAACACCGTTCATCTGCACACACTGCGATGCCACACAGCTGGTTCAATATCAGCAAAGTTTCCCTTTATATTCATTGTCTTGTGTGGTGGTTCACTTGTACACTGTGATCTGTAGCCTATAGTTAGGCTTTAGCTTCTAACTATCTTTGTCTTTTTAACCTGTTGTTGCTGCTGAGTCAGTTTGACATCCTGGATATATCCTTAAAACACAGACTGTAGACCCCTCTGTCTGCTTCTCAGTTGAGTATTTTGAGAAACTGTTAAGCAGAAATACCAAACTGATGTTGAAAACATATGGAAAACATCATGACTAGTAGTTGACAAATGTTTTGAATTTTTGTTGACAAAAAACATAAAGAATATAAATGACTAAGATGTGACTAAAACTAATAAGCATTTTCGTCTCAAGACTTTGACTAAATCTGGCGGATGGATCACAAAACACAGGACTTTACCCTGGGAGACCTTTGATTGATACCGTGTAATTAATTTTAAAGTACGTCGTCACCATGTTCTTTTTCCTAAACTTACCTAACTTGAGGTTGAGTACGCCACATCATTTGTGGGGTGCTTATTTGTAGTTTATCATATAAACTGTGGTGTGTCCATTTTTTTTAGGACATCATACGAACCAATGTATGAGGACGTGTTGTGGCAATCCACCCAACAGTTGTTGGGATGTTTGAGGTACGTGTCTATACAGTTAATTCTGCTTCTTCTCGTCTTCACTCGTCCGCTCTCCATCCTGTGACTCCAAAATTGATAAGAAGTCCACTATTGGGGAGATCGTTTTGGTCACTTAAATGCATCCCAGAGAGGATAAGAACCTCGGCCGAATCCTTTTGCAAAGTATTTTACCAGATAGCAACAACCCTTTGATTGGAATCTGTTTATTGATTGGTTAGCTGATCTGATCAGTCCAGACCCGATTAATTTGTTAATCAACAAGATTAAAAACACAATAGTCACTAAGTTGCTCTCCTAGTTCTTGGAAACTTCAGGGACTCTGATATAAAAAGATTTACGCACACAAATAAGTCAAAACAACTTGTGTGCGGTATATGTAGATATTTTATTTGTTTACAATACAAGATGAGCTATGATGCATGGTCGAACATTGGTTGTACTGACAAGGATAACCATGTCTAATAATAAATGAGGAACACTCTCAAACTGACTATTAATGATCAATAACTGAACCAACCGAAGTGCATATAGACTTGATGGGCAACTGATTACAAGCATTATGTATTATTAGACTACAAATCAAGCTCATGTTATGAATAATGACTGATATGTAGAGACTAGATGAAAAGGACTTTGTACCGAATGTTCAGGACTTTCTGAACTACCCAAGTACACGGAGGATTCAAGCACAACACACTGCAGTTTGAACTGCTCAAATTGTCTGATTGATAGGAGAAATCCTTGCACTTAGTTGCTGGCAGGTTACCATGGTTACCAAATGATTTGAATATTATACAGATCTTATATTATAATTGCTTCCTTGATGATTTACTGGTGTTTTAGCTTCTTGCTAAAATCACATATCTACCATCAAACAATGTAAAATCAAGGACACCAATGACAAACTGACCCAGACTCCCCATGGAGGCGGACCGAGACCCTTCTTTTCAAGTGGCCTCGGTCTGGGATCAGTTAACAACTACTGAACCAAGACAAACCCACCAGGGTTTGTTTTAAACAAACCAAATGGGTTGGGTGTGAAAGCACTCTAAGACAGCTCAACAATGTCCAGAGCCCTCATCATCTCAAGGTGAATCTCATCCACCTCTGGAGTTTTGCCACGCTGGAGGTTTTCGACTACCTCCGTGACTTCTGCCAGAGAAATGGACAAGGCCTCCCATGATCCTTCAAGCTCTGCCTCCTCTATAGAAGGCATATCTGTCTGGTTCAGGAGTTCCTTTATGTGTTTCCTCCACTATCTGACAATGTCCTCAGTCTGAGTCAACAGTTCTCCTCTTCAGCTGGAAACAGCCTGGGCTAAGCTCTGCCTCCCTCTCCTGAGTTGTCTGATTATCTGTCAGAACCTTGACTCAAAATCCTTCTCCATGGCCTACCCCAAACTCCACCCACACAGTTTTCGCCCCAGTGACCACAGACGCCGCAGTCCTGCTGGTGTTTCTGGAGTCTCCTGACTGAGCTTGAAAAGACTCTTTCTTCAGCTAAATGGTCTTTTTCACCACTGATGTCCACTAGCAGATTCTTTGGTTGCCACCACATGGGGCACAGGTGACCTTCTATGCACAACCTCAACAAGGCCCACCTGGACTCCATGTTTCCAATGGCTATCGAGACACAATAAATTTGATAAAGATTAGAAAAAAAGTTGTGGTGATGGGAAATAACTGATGGTGAAGGCATGGGAAAGATTGTTTTGGTTATTAAAAAGGCAAATGTTCATTGTAGGTCTGTGACAAGTCCTCTTGCATAAAAGTCTGATGCACTACATGTCCATCCACCACCCTGACCTCCATGTACTTACTTTCCATCTTGCAACATAACGGTCAGACTACTTACTACAATGCCACTAAACGAAATACCAAGGTGCAGAATTGTTCAAAATGGACTTGACTCATTGTGAAACTGGGCTCCAAAAACCTGGTTGGATTATCACTTGAGACTGAGAGGAGAGACCTTTAGTTATCTCTTCCTGCTTTCATTCTTTTAACAGTTTAACAAGGATTTAAAAGAAATGTTCCATTCAGAGTTGATGTTTGGCAGGTGAGAAATCTAATTAGATGTGAGATGAGCTCTTTGGAGGTCCTACTCTTCTGCCTGGGCTCCTTCCTCTTCAGCCGATCCTCCTTCAGCTCTGGAAACACTGAGGTTGTAATAATCCACCTCGATGTTCTCCTGTGGGCCTGGCTTCTTCCCCCTGGTGGTCTGGAGAGACATGACAGCACACAGATATGAGTTGTTGCATCACTCCTCTCTTTTGTTCAACACACACAGGCTAAGGGCTTCGTTTGAGTCAGTCCTCTAATCAACAGAGATGTGTACGGTACCTTAAAGATGAAATAGATGACAGTGTTGAACAACAGCAGAATCAGCGGCAGGACGACCAATCTGATGATAAAAGCTGCTGGATCTGATGAAACACATTCACAGACACACACATCAGTACAGCTGGTCCCATCAACCTTAAACTTCAGTCATGTTAAATCACCTAAAATCACTCATCAGTTAACTAAAGTCACTGTGAGGGGATGAATTAAAGCCTGCTCATTCTCTCCCTAATGCCCCTGTCTGGTTGAAATGAAATCAACACCTTCACATAAAACCACAGGAGGTTGCTTAAAGGGCAGATTGCCACAGTTTGAAGCATCAGGGAATAAGCCCACTTCTCTACCCATCAGGATGCTATTGTCCTGGATAATTTTACAGTTCAGATCAGAGGAAGGATGACACTGGAAGATCGCTGTCACAGATGATTGGTGCATCTCAAAGTCAAGGGATCTTGCCTAGCCTCTGTAGGACTCAACTCGGAAGGACCTGTCCTACCAAGGAAGCATCCTTGACTTTCAGAAGCACCAGATGTCACTGATGGGCTTACCTGAACAGGTGAGCTCCAGGGTGGAGGAAGACCAGGACAATAATGTTCCACACTCTCTCAGAGCAGATCCAGAGTGAGCACAGTCAAAGTTGATCTTCCATGCAGATCTGTTGGAGGAGTCCTCTTTCCTTCCTGCTGAAATAGCAGAGCCACAGTTCAGGTTTCTACAGAAGGCAACTGCTGACGTCAGAGTCCAGTCAGAGCCATCCACTGGTCTCCAGTCTCCTCGTTTCACCTCCAGTGTTCCAGTGCAGCGACTGGATCCTCCCACCAACCTGACAGGATCTGAACAGAAACCAGAGAGTCATCAGTAAAAGAACAAAGTGAGTTTCATTACAACAGAAATGAACCAAATCAAATCTGCAGCTCCTCTTCTACCTGAGCAGGTGAGTCCAACAGCTTTGCCAGATGAGCAGGTGTTTCTATCTGAGTCTGAGCTTCTACAGTCCAGGAGAGCAGACTCGTTACCTCCACACTGGAACTCTTTGGTCCACATTGGAGCCTCCACTTCTCCATAGAGCGCCCCCTGGAGGACTGAAGGAGCCCCACAGCCCAGCTCCCTACAGACCACCTCTGCATCCTGCTGGTCAAAGTCATCTTCACACACTGAGGACCACGACTGGTTAGACTGGCCAGATTTCACCTCCAGTCGTCCTGAACACAGACCAGTCCCATTCACCAGCCTGACAGAGTCTGGAGGGAGAGAGAGAATTTAAATTTTAAAACTGATCTTTATTTGTGATTATTGATACTATGAAACAGACATGATACATCTCATCAGACACTGTACAGATTCACATATTCCCAAACCATTAGTTCAGGAAGTCTGATACACAAGCAGTTTCATCAAAGTGCAGCCTGGAAGATCTTATGATCAACTACAGGGTTTTTGATACAAGCATATCTTGGAAAGATTACTGTCATAGATGATGTAACAGACCAGCTTACCTACGCAGGTGATCTCCATGATGGAGGAAGAGGAACCTGATGTTACACACTCCCTCAGGGTATGTCCAGCCTGAATACAGCTAGGACTGATCTTCCATGCAGATTTGCGCATGGCCTCATTTCTTATTCCTGCTGAAATAGCAGAGCCACAGTCCAAGTCTCTGCAGACGACAGCTGCTTCCTTCAGAGTCCAGTCAGAGCCATCCACTGGTCTCCAGTCTCCCTGTTTCACCTCCAGTGTTCCTGCACAGCGACTGGATCCTCCCACCAACCTGAAAGGCCCTGAACAGAAACAAGAGGGTCCTCGGTAAAAGGATAAAGTGAGTTTCATTAGAACAGAAATTAAGCAGAATCACAGCTGCAGCTCCTCTTCTACCTGATCAGGGATGCTTTTCATTGTGCTAACTTATACATCACGTCCTCTCTCCTCCTGTGACCTACAAATCGCTCCCCCTTTCCCATCATGGAGGATCTTCGAATCCCTTGCATGCAACTTGAGGAGACAAGGAGTTAGGAGGCCTCTGGAGGATGTTAGAGTGAGGAAACACAGGTGTATCCCATGTTTCTACTTTTATTAAGTGCCATGAGGGATAAATGATGCACCTCCACATGTGGCTCAATAACTGACACAACTCAAGACTGACACTGTAGAACCAAGGATTTCTCATTTGGCAACTTTGACTCCTCCATCTTCATGTCTCTTATTTGCATCTCTCTCACACATACTTACTGGGAGGAAGTGAAGGAAGCAAGGAAGGACGTTAACATAATGAAAAGAACCCCAGGTGAGTCCAACAGCTCTGCCAGGTGAGCAGGATTTTTAATTATTTGATGCAAAGCTGAGCATCTTACCCAGCTGCTGCATATCAGGTGGACTGCTGACTAGATTTATCCATCTCCATTCATTAATAAGTATATTTCCTTTGTCGTCACAGGTTCCTTGCAGGAGGAATTGTGAAACAGCAGCAAGGGCCTCGGCACACAATAAAAGCACTCACAACACAGTATATCCCACTTGTGGCGAGGTGTCCTCCAGGGCAATGGCCACATGGCAGTTTGTCCTGCCAATGCTTGCATAGCAGATTCCTTCATCAGACTCTAAATTTAATGCGATTTTACTTGGGAGTTAATTATCATCACTCCCCACTACATACAGAGCTGAGCCTGGTGTCAGTTCAGAGGCTAGACTTCAAACAATGCCTGTATTCTACATTCAGGTCACATGGAGGGCGACATACTGTATTGAGGAAGTCACATACACAAGCAATTACATCATTAGTACTGTCTACAAGATGTTATCATCAACAATTATGATTTCATTATAAACATATTCACATCTGTCATGTTGCTGAGCAGACCTCTGTGTCTCTGCATTTCATACCACATAAAGAGATTCTAACTAAGTCATAGATGATGTCACAGACAGGCTTACCTAAGCAGGTGAGCTCCAGGATGGAAGAGGAGGAACCTGATGTGACACACTCCCTCAGAGTATATCCAGCCTGAATACAATGAGGATTGATCTTCCATGTAGATGTGCGCATGGACTCATGTCTTATTCCTGTTGACACAGCAAAGCCACAGTCCAAGTCTTCACAGGCTATAGCTGCTGACGTCAGAGTCCAGTCAGAGCCATCCACTGGTCTCCAGCCTCCTCGTTTCACCTCCAGTGTTCCAGTGCAGCGACTGGATCCTCCCACCAACCTGACAGGATCTGAACAGAAACCAGAGTCATCAGTAAAAGAACAAAGTGAGTTTCATTACAACAGAAATGAACCAAATCAAATCTGCAGCTCCTCTTCTACCTGAGCAGGTGAGTCCAACAGCTTTGCCAGATGAGCAGTTGTTTCTATCTGAGCCTGAGCTTCTACAGTCCAGGAGAGCAGACTCATTTCCTCCACACTGGAACTCTTTGGTCCACATTAGAGCCTCCACTTCTCCATAGAGCGCCCCCTGGAGGACTGAAGGAGCCCCACAGCCCAGCTCCCTACAGACCACCTCTGCATCCTGCTGGTCAAAGTCATGTTCACACACTGAGGACCACAACTGGTTAGACTGGTTAGACTTCACCTCCAGTCGTCCTGAACACAGACCAGTCCCATTCACCAGCCTGGCAAACACTGAGATAGACAGCGAGAACAAGTTCATACCATAGCAGCTATTATAGTATTTCAAAATTCCTGACTTTGGCACCATGTTATGATAGCGTGAAAAATGACACGTTGAAAACACCAATGCCTGATGAACAGAAACAAGATCTACCGCCTTAAAAGGAGGTGAGGTTGGGGTAAATCTAAGATCTGCTTATAATCTGTGCAGTGTATAAACTTAGTGAAGTGTTTGGTGTTTGTTCTTGTTCCAGAAACAACGAGCAAAGTTCCGGATGATCTGGAGACTTAGCAAGTCAAGGATGTGTCAAGGACCCAGAGTTGGGTGGAATTTTAATTTGTAAAATGTTCTCATAGTAGGGGTTGCAACCCTTCATCCTGTTTACTTTTTCATGAATACTTAAGTTATGTCTGGATATACAGTACAGGCCAAAAGTTTGGACACACCTTCTCATTCAATGTGTTTTCTGTATTTTCATGACTATTTACATTGTAGATTCTCACTGAAGGCATCAAAACTATGAATGAACACATGTGGAGTTATGTACTTAACAAAAAAAGGTGAACTAACTGAAAACATGTTTTATATTCTAGTTTCTTCAAAATAGCCACCCTTTGCTCTGATTACTGCTTTGCACACTCTTGGCATTCTCTCGATGAGCTTCAAGAGGTAGTCACCTGAAATGGTTT